CCCCCCCCCCAGCCCAAGCAGGCTGAGGTGCGGTTCCCAGGAAGGCCTGAGAGGAGCCCAGATCTGCACCCAGGACGTCAACAGCCCACATCTCGTGATGTAGCAGGAGGCCAAGCAAGCGAGCGCCGTGGACGGGCCCTCAGGCTGCCCATCTGTCCAAGGACGGAGCTTGAAGTTGCCCCTTTTTAATGGTGCGCACACACCTGGGATGTCATGAAGTCGTGTGTAGTGTGAACACTTTGTAATGTGGATTACATGTGAAACAGTTCATCTGCCTCGGTGCTGACCCAGCTCCTATCCCTTCACCTCGATTCTAGGGGAGAGAAGCGAGAACAGGCAGTCACCAAGTAAGTTTTGGAAGGGAAAGAAGACTCATGAATTTAGTGTGTTTCTTTTACGTTGGTGACACGGCTGGGTTGAATGATTGATTGGCATATACTCCAAATGCTCAAAACCCCAGTGTTCTCAGAGGCCCGCTTTGAGAACCGTTGGGGTAAGTGACCTCAGAAGGTCTTTGTTGGCAACTCCGGGTGTTCAAGATCCCTCTGTCTGGTCCCCCGGCCAGTCATCTCCCCGCCACCCGGCTCAGGCACTCACCAGGCTCTGTCCTTACATGTGTACCTCCGGTGCCAGTAGGAGACCCTCCTCCCTGCCTGAAACTGTGCCCAGCCGCCCGGGCCTCAGCCACAGTCCCCTCCCTGCCTCTCATGCTCCGTGCTCACAGCCCAGCCCACCCCAGGGCCTGTCTCTGCTGCTTCCTTTGCCAAGATTAGCTGCCTGCCGCCTCTACCCTCTGAGAGGGTAAACGGCCTCCAGTGTCGCAGAGGGAGGCCTTCCAGTAGAAGGCATCCATCCCGTGTGGAGTACCGGTGGTCCCCACTCGTATGCGACTGTAGTCACAGACAGGCGCGAACGGAATGATAGGCGTATTGTTAAGTATCCAATAAGCAAATTATATAAGAAAAGTACCGCTTCTCTGATTTTGTTTTCCCGGATCCCAGTCTTGGCACTGGACAGATAAACGTCGGGTACCACGTGTGACAGGGTCTCTGTCTCTTGTGATTTTAACCCCGTTGCCCTGCACGGTGCTTGGTGATGTGAGAGCTTGGTGTGTTAGAGATATTACTAGACAAGACTCTGGTCGGTAGGGACAGGGCATCAGGATATCAGGACAGGAGGAATGTCGGAGATCAGCCAGTTGTCTCACTTTTAAGAGCAGGCCCAGGAGGAGGAAAGGCCTCATCTGGGGTTGAATGTTTGTGCCTCCCTCCGTCGCCCAGATTCATGTCGATGCCTTAACCTCCAATGTGTGTATTCAGAGATGGGGCCTTTGGGAGGCAGTTAGGGTAAGATGAGGTCCTGAAGGTGTCGCCCCAGGATGGAATTGGTGCCCTTCTAAGAAGAGGACCGAGAAAGAGCTCTCTCCGTGCACGCGCGCCAAGGAAAGGCCAAGTGTGGACACGGTGAGAAGACAGCAGTCTGCCAGCCGGGAAGAAGGTTGTCAATAGACAGGGAATCTGCCGGCACCTCCGTGTTGGACGTCCCAGCCTACAGAACCTTGAGAAATAAACGTCTGTTATTGAAGCCACCCAGTCTATGGTATTTTGTTACAACGGCCCAAGCGGACTGACAGTTCTTGCTCAAAATCCTTTTGTTTCTGAAAAGCGTGACCAGCCCTGTGAACTCTGCCGGGTGCTACAGATACAGCCGTGAACAGAACGAAGGCCCCGCTCTCACCCACTGCTCATTCCAGAAAAAGACGGACGAGAAGCTCGGGCTGTGCCCAGTCCTACAAGGAAAATAGAGTAGGATAACCTGACGGTGAGTTGGGTCAGATGGTGAAGAGATGGCCATCTCTGGGGGTGGCCTCTAAGATTGGACCTCGAAGACGAGAGCGAGCTAGGCCCTTAAGCCAGGGAAGAGTTCCAGGGAGAGGAAATGGCGAGTCCCGTGCAGGTTTCATTTTCTGTGGACATTAGAAATGGCAAGAGGGTTGCTCTTCATTAAAAGAGATGCTGTTTTATAAGAATAAGTGGCCCCAGTGCGTTAACCGTAAACACGGCGCAGAATTGCAGGTTTCTGCAGCAAGGGTGACTTCGGGCTTTGGCTGAAACAGCTGAGTGGACCGTGGTGCTACTGCTTGAGGTGCAGATGTGGCCTGGAGATGTGGCTAGGGCAAAGGGAGAGAGACCAGGAGTGCTGTCTTAGCCGTGCTGAGTTTGAGATGTCTGGGATACCTCCAGTTGGAGTTGTTGCCCGCATCTAGAGCTTATCCGGGACTAACAGCATAAATTGAGGAGTCATTAAAAATATACAAATGACCATTAAAGCCGGGGCCCGACTGGGCTCACTTGCAGAGACGTGGCGGTGCCTGTGGAAGCGGGAGGAGAACGTATTTCAAGAAGGAGCCTACAAGGGGGCGCCTGGGTGGCTCAGTGGGTGAAGTTTCCAACTCTTGATTTCCGCTCCGGTCACGATCTCGTGGTTCGTGAGTCGGAGTCCCTTATCGGGCTCTGCGCTGACAGTGCGGAGCCTGCTTGGGATTCTCTCTCTGCCCCCCACCCCCTGCTCTAAATAAATAAGCTTAAAAA